TAGGTGAGCACTCTACCGCTGAGCCACAATCCCAGCCCCAAAACTGTTCTTTTTCTACTGTACATTCTTACACCTTTTTCAAAAATAGGCTGCTGTAGGTGTGTGGGTCGAATTCTATGCTCTCTGTTCTGTTCCATGGGTCCATGCTTCTGTTTGTAAGTCAGCACCATGCTGTTCTGATTACTCCAGCTTTGTCCTGTATTTTGAAGTCAGGTCAAGGAACTCCTCTTGCTTGGTTCTTTTCATGCAGGATGACTGTGACTCTTCAGGAGCTTTGTGGTTCCATAGAAATTTTAGGATTGTCTTTTCTAGTTCTGTGAAGAATGCTCTTGGTGTTTTGGTAGGGATTACATTGAATCTGCCGATCTTGTTGGGTAGAATTTGAACAATATTGGTTATCTTTTTATTTGTGTGTGTGTGTGTGTGTGTGTGTGTGTGATTTTCAATTTCTTTCCTCATTGCTTTATAGTTTTCATTTTAGAGATCTTTTACCTCTTTATTTTAATTTGTTCCAAGGTTTTATAATTTTTGCAGTTATCGTAAGTAGTATTGTTTGCTTGATTTCTATTTCAGATGATTTGCTATTTGTATATACAACTCTAATAATTTTACTTTTTTGTATCTTGCAATTTTGCTAAATTCATCTATTACCACTACTAGTTTTGAGTGAAGTCCTTGGAGTTTTCTATATGTAACATCAGCTCATCTGCAAACAGTGAGAATTTTATTCCTTTTTTCCCAGTTTGGATGCCCTTCATTTTTTCTCTTGCCTGATTGCTCTAGCAAGCACTCCCAGAATTCCATTGATTAAAAGTGGTAAAATGGGCATCATTCTTCTGTTTCAGATCTGAGAGAAAAAACTTTCAGTGTTTATCCATTTGATATGATGCTTGCTGATGGCTTATTTCACACACCTTGTATCATGTTGAGATATATTCCTTCTATACCTGGTTGTTCAGCATTTTCATCATGAAGAGATGTTGATTTTATCAAATGCCTTTTCTACATCTATTATATCGGTTTTGCCCTTCATTCTGTTAATGTGGGATATTACATTTATTGATTAGATAGTGTTGAACCATTATTGCATCCCTGAGATGCATTCCACTTGGTCATGTTGAATAATTTTTCTAGTGGGCAATTGAATTTAGTTTGCTAGTATTTTGTTCAGGATTTTTGTATCTTTATTCATCAAAAATATTAGCTGTGGGGGCTGGGGCTGGGGCTCAGCAGTAGCACACTTGCCTGGCATGTGTGAGGCACTGGGTTCGATTCTCAGCACCACATATAAATAAATAAATAAAATAAAGTTTTATCAACAATTAAAATAATATTTTCAAAAAAATAGCTGTGGATTAGTTTTTATGTGTGTTGTCAGGTTTTGGTATCATGAAATTGCTGGCTTTATCAAATGTATTTGGAAGAATTTCTTTCTCTTCTATTTTTGGGAATTACTTAAGGAGAACTAGAAACTGTTCTTCAAATATTTGGTAGAACTTAGCAGTAAAGCTCTCTTGTATTGGAATTTTCTTTCCTGGAAGGCTATTACTACTGATTCAATCTTGTTACTTATTATAGGTCCGCTCAGCTTTTTTACTTATTCATGATTTAACCTGGGTAAGATATATATGTGTAAGTATTAAGGAATTTTTCCATTTATTCTAGGTTACCAAATTTTTGCAAATAATAACAAACATGGGTATCTTTTTCCTAATAATCTCAAATGATCCTTTGTACTTTTGTGGTGTCAGTTGCAATCTCTCCCTTTTCTTGTCTGAATTTGAGTCTTCTCTCTACTTTGCCTAGTTGTCTAGCTACTGACTTTTCACCTGTGTTTAGTTCTTTGAAGAACCAGCTCCTTATTTCATTACTCTCTTGTGCTCCTTTTTAGTCTCTGATTCATTTATTTGTTCTCTGCTCTGAACTTATTATTTCTTCCTTTCCACTAATTTTGGTTCAGGTTTGGATACCAGATATTTTTAATACACTTGATAAACAAGAGTCTCCCAGGCTTTCTTAAAAATCACAGTGGACTGGTCATTTTTCTGGCTTTTCTAGTATATCTAACCTGGCATATACAATTTTCTGAGCCACAAAGCACATACTTCTGATTCCTTCCTTTACTACCTTTCTTCAAACTATGGATTTTTCATTTCATTCAGATTACAATATCACTTTCCAACCTAAAAAAAAGGCAATCTCCTAGGACAGTAGTGCCATCTCCTAACACTCAAGCTAAAAGCTATGAACCATAATTATGAACTCTTTCTCATGCAGCTGTGATCCCATCCTCACTGCACCCACCATGACTCAGCATGCACAGTCCCTTCTCCTGCGTCTGATCATCGTCTGCCAGGCAGGCCCTTCCCTCACAGCAGGCCTGGCACCGCCATTGCAAGGTGATATGCTGCTGGGTGTAGGCATTGTTCAAAGGGCAGAGGGGAAGTGGGCCATGTCCTGGGACATGAGGTTGCTGTCCCCTCCTCTTCAAAGGAGGGGAGCATGCCCACCTTAAACAGGTAGAGCAGACAGCTTGGGAAGGGTCATTCTTGCTCTGCCAGCTCAGCCCTTCAGAGGGATGGGGAGGGGGTGCCTAAAGGGTCCTTTCTCACCAGCCCAACCCTTACTCGCCCTTTTCCCTCACAGGCACTCACTTTCTTTGCTATTACTTCACCATCAATTCTAAGGCAGCACCTGGACAGCAATGGTGTACAGTCCACGCCCAGGTGGACCAGAAGAATTTTTTCTCCTCTGACTGTGGCCTGGACAAGGTCAAATCCTTGAGTGCCCTGGGAGGGAAAGTGAATGCCACAATCAACTGGGAAGAACAGAAAACCTTACTGAGAGATATTGGGAATAAGCTAAAACAGAAACTGGCTGACATTAAAGCAGAAAATGACATGGCCAGAGGTACGTAAGGATGGTCCAAGGGCACAAGAGAGCTGATATTGGGTTGAAGGTAATTGATTGTGTGCATGTAAAAAAAAAAAAAGAGTTAGATGTTGGTCCCTCTAAAAGCCCAGACATAACTGTTTTGGAGGACAGAACACAGCCAGATTAGAAGGAAAACAGGGAAGGTGGTACTGGGTTGGACAAAGGATTTGTTAAGAGGCTGATTTCTTTCTGATAGGGGCAGGTCTGAACACCCTGCAGGGCAGGATGTGTTGTCAGCATAAATCCAACAGCTCTTGGCAGTTTGGCTTCAATGGACAGATGTGGCTCCTTTTTGACTCAGACAACAGAAAGTGGAGAGAGATACATCCTGAGTCCAACTGGATGAAAGAAATGTGGGAAAATGACAAGGAGGTGACCGAGTTGTTACACAGGTCCTCGATAGGTGACTGTAGAACCTGGCTTCAGAAGTTGAAGGAATGTGAGGCAGAGTTGGAGCCAACAGGTAACTGGCAGGAGGGGGAAGAAGTGGGATTCACATGAGATGCTGGTGTGTGTGTGTGTGTGTGTGTACAATCCATCAAGCATGAGTCAGACCTGGGTTATCATTCACAGGTATAGTCTTTCCATATTTTTCCCTTCTCACCTCCTAATGCCTCTTTTTCAGTGCATATTCTTTTGGTCTGACATTTGCTCATCTCTTTTTGGAAATTCCTCTAAATTACTTCACATGTCAGCTCCTGAGACCCTTCTCCACCACCATCCTCATGGGTCACCTCATATTCTGCCACCAGGAAGGATGAGTTGCATGGTCACCCAGGATTCTCCCATTAGCTATATGAGCCCCTTAAAGACATGGCCCCTTTCCTGTCTCCCTCACTTCCCAGGACCTGTCACAGTAGCTGCCACATAGCAGAGATCTAGGAACTGTCTGCCTTCCTGAATGACTTGGGGCAGCAGGATCTAAGCAGCTATGTCCTCATATTTTGGTGTGAAGAAGGGCTAACACTCTTGTGTTTCCATTTCAGGACCTTCAACCACCACCCCAGACACAGTCCTTGAGAAGTCCTCAGCCAGCACCTTTAATCACTGGAATTCAGTACCTTTAATCACTATAATCCTCATCATAGGATGCATCATAATTTTTTTCTGACAGGTATTGTAGGCAGATTGAAGAGAGGGATGGGGGAGATGGGGGAGCAATGAGGACAGGAAAGTGAATTCCCAAGATCCTAGTCTGTACCTTGACTGATCCTTCCCATTCTGAGGTGAGACAGAAGAATTAGGCCTCCAGTCACTGGAAGCAATAGCTTGACCATGCTCAGCCCTGAGTTCTGAGAAATCCTCCCTGTCAGGGCCCATGGGAAAGAGGAGGGGCCATACCAAGGCAGCCTGTCGATCTAAAGGGTTTTAGCTGATGCAGGTCTGATTCAGACCAGATTTCTATAAGAGAGGGACACAGTGGGGCATGGTGTGCAGATAACAGGAACACAGGAAGGAAATACCCAATCCTGGAAGATGGCAGCAGGGTAGCTCCATTCAGTGTGTACAGAGAAAGGGACTTCATACCCACAGTCAAAGAAGAGGGTCCTGGGGCCTCGGTCCTGGTTCAGTGGTAGAGTGCTTGCTTATCATGTGTTAGGCACTGAGTTTAAACTTAAAATAAAGGTATTATGTTCATATGTAAAAGAGAGGGAGAGAGAGGGTCCTATGGCTAATGCCAGGGTAAGGCGCAGGGAAGGCCTTTCCCAGCCCAACCTGGAAGGCTGGAGTTCAGGGCTACATTCCCACAGGAGGCTCATTTCCAGAAGCTGAATTGAAAACAGAGTGGAGTCTGTTCAGGATGAAGGCAGAGGATGCCAGCTCTCTGGGGACTCCTAGAACCCCAGGCTTGGCCCTTGGGCTTTGGCCCTGGAACCCAGCCTCCTGCAGACTCCAGATCCTGAGCCAGCTCAGCAGCCTCTGCCTTGAGCAGAGCCTCTGCAGAGACTGGTGGGGCTGAGCAGCTGCTGGAGTCTGATGCTCCAGCTGACTTAGCCAGAGTGGAGGGAGTAGGCAGGGCCAGTCACTTTTAGAGCTGTGCTGCTCCCAGGTAAGGAGAGGTTGAGGGGGAAGGGGGAAGAAAGATGTCGTCTGCAACCCCACCCAAAGTCTGGGAACTAGGTTCCACACCCTTCTCTTTGGCAGGACTCTCTGCATCCCCAGGTCCTCTGGACCCTCCTATCTGGGGAGGAGCAGACTTCCAGTCAGGGAGCAGATCCAGTCATTAGGGCTTCAGTCCTGAGACCAAAGCCCTAATGACTGGGCAGGAACTGATTCTGGCCTGTGGGAAAGAAGGGAGGAGGGTGATAGAGGCTGTTGGATCCTTGGGTAATGAATGGAGGGAAATACATGACCCAAGGTGAGCACCCAGAAGAATTGAGATAGAATTTCTTCAGAGAGTTGAAGTAACACCTGTTTCTTGTCTAAAGGTGCTCCCAAGAAGCTTCTGAAAATGTGATTCAGTTAAATAACTGGCCTTACTGGTCTTCTGCCAGTCTACTCCCTGCTGTTCCTCCATAGAGCAGATGAAGATTGAAGTACAAATCCAGAGGCCTCCAGCACGTCATCACGTATTCTAACTTAGCCTACAGCTCTCCTGTTCATATCTAGCATGGGCGAGGTACCCATGGGAGAGATGGGCTGACTGTGAAATAAAAACTGTGAAAGTAATCTATCAAGAAATAAAGACAAAATGGCAAGAATCATATTTTCAAAGCAGGGCATAACCTGTTGGTAAAGTGCTTGCTTTGCACAAGGCCCTGGGTTCAATCCCTAGCACCACACACACAAAAAAATTATATACTTCATATTGTTAACTTTTAAATAAGCCAGTGTGTCTTAATTGTCTTTTAAAAATATAGTTTACTTCTCAGTGTAGAGAGTAACGTAAAATTTTATAACATATTTATTTAAATATAAAATATTAAATGACACCATTAATTTCCAATTAATTTGTTATTATTATATAGTTTAAGAGCTATTGTTGTAGAAACTTTTGTTTGAAGAACATCAGCTTAGTAAAATATTCTTTTAAATCTTGTACTTTAATGACGTGTATATTTGGGAAATAAAGATACAATTAATATGTTATTTATAAATATCATAATTATACTGATTTTTTTATATTAAACAAGTTTAGCTTTTAAAGAAAAATTTGAAATATGGAATGTAATATGGTACTTTTTAAATAACAGTTATTGTTTAAACAAAATTTTATATACCTTAAATCCTTTAAAATTAGTGTTTTTTTTAAATAATAAAACTCAACAGATATAAAAAATTATTTTATTGGAATGAGAGTAGATTAATGTTTTCAGTATTTCTTATTTCTTTTATCTTTTAGTTAGAATGCCCAAGTAATAAAGGTCTGTGAAGAGATCTTATCTATATTAGTAAATAGGCCTCATGTCAGAAACTTAGTAGGATTTAAAGAGTAAAAATCTTTCAATAACTTCAGCTGATTGTGTTAATTTCATGTAACTAATTTAGCTATATGTAAACATTTTGAAAATTATTTTGTACATACTTTGTTTTAATTTACTGAGACATTTATAGCCTTTCACTTTACTGGGTGAAATTTTTCTTAAACCTTTCTATGTAAATCATACCTGATAGAAGTTTAACTCCCAGCTCCTTGGTTCTCATGAGGACATAGAGAATAAAGGAATTTTAAATCTTTTTTTATGTTAACCAAATTACAAACACATCTAATGTTTAAGTATATTTTAGTTAATAGGGTCTGATGTTTTTATATTTAGTAGATGATATTTTAGCACCCAATGGATGACATTCTAGCACTCTAACCTTGCAAATCAATAAGTACCTCTTTTAATAAAGACATATAATTACTCCCCTTTACCTTAAATGTATTTATTCTTAACTGTAAGATCCAAGACATCAAACAAATGTAGATAACAGTATTAATTATCTTTTTCCTGTTAAAGAAAATTGTTAGAAGCAAATAGATATAAATTTTAAATATCATAGGGATTAATAACTTTATTATTATTATTATTTTAATATCTGTATTTTATTTATTTATTTTTATGTGGTGCTAAGGATTGAACCCAGCGCCTTGAATGTGCTAGGGGAGCATTCTATCACTGAACCCCAGCCCCAGCCCCGCAAGTTAATTATTTAACCAGCTGGAAATTTTTGAATTAATAATTTTAAAGATATCTTTATTTTTAACTCTCAATCCTATTTCAATTGAAACTTTTTAAATCAAGTAAATTAAAGCTATTTGGGGTCCATTTTTTATGTTAATTTTAAATTATGATCATGCTTATTTATTTATAAGTCAATTTTAATATCATGTAATATAGATATAATATAAGCATTATGTGCACACATTTACAAATCAGACAAATAAAAGAATTTTTATAACTTTCTGTAAGTGGAGCTCCAAAGGTTGTATGGAGTGGTACAAATACTTATCAAAGCTTTTATTTGATTTAACCTGTTTAGGAATTACGTTAGAACCAATAAAACATTTATATGATTTAATGACAAGGCAGGCCTGCTTTGATGGATAAGCCACATTGAAATCTGACAATTATGAGAACACTTAAATAAATTATTTCAGATTGCCAGCTTCTTGTCCTAATAATTGTCAGACCTACTCTTAGCATCATCCCTAACAAACAAAAAATAATCCATTAAAAAGCATAATTAGAATGTTCTTTATTAACTTTGGAATTTTTCTCATTTAACTTTAGTTATCAACAGTTTAGTTGTTGAGAGAATGAGAGAGTTCCTATCGTGAAGGCTATTGATGAAGCAATGAATTGTAGCTTGTTAGCTTTAAAGGGATTCAGGCTTTGAGTAGAAGATCACCATAATGTAATGGTTACCATGCCCATCTCACAAGGGTGAAGGTCACCAAAAGCTATGAAAGTAATATATCAAGAAGTAAAGTCAAAAAGACAAGGGTTATATATTTTCAAAGGTAGATGTGACCCATTGAGCTGATCAGAGGGGTCTGACTTCTAACAAAGAATAGGCCCATGCTTGTCTTATTTATCGTGGTACAGATCAAGGGGGTCAGTAGATAGTTTTCAATGTGGTAGGAGGCTTGTTTCGGTGCTTGTTTCTTGGTGTTGCAGGGATCTTGAAGTAAATAGGTTGTTTGGTCCTAAAGCTATGAGCCAAGACAAGGGCCAGCATGAACTGGGGAATTTCACCCAGGAGTTCCCAGAAAAGTGGCTTCTGTGCCTTAATGGCTCAAACAAACCCCTAATTTATATATGGTTCTTTTGCTTATTCACATCCAGTCAGGATTTAGAAGACCCTCAGGTATTTCACTTTTAGGGACACAATGGGCCTATACCCTCTTTTGCAAGAGGTGGACTATTCTGATAGCTGCTTTCACTCTCCTGTCCATTGCAGCAGCCACACCCACCTTTTCTTTGCCACCCATTGATTCCTGCTACCCCAGGATATGATGACCCTCATGAAGATCCTGTAACTTCAACTTTGAGCTTTTTTTTTTTTAAGACATTTATTCAGTGTCATGATCAGACTATTACATTTGGCAATCAACAGCATGGTGCCCAAAACAAAGTAGATTAATACCCTTTGTGGAATGCTTTGAACTTTTCACAGAACAGAAACTAAAAATAACCTGTTATACAATTAGTCGCAAGTATAGCCCTTGAGTTTTTTGCCCATACATATGAGTATTGTCTAAACCATGTCTTCCTTGTAGCAGCTAGGCCCTGCCAACACTGCTTGGCTGAGTTCACAAATCTATTATAACCTTTAGCTTCCTTGTCACTTCTCTGGCTCTCCTCTCCTGCTAAGCTTTGTTTCCTGGCAGTATTAAAACCTTCTGCCACTGCCATGGCTACTGCTGCTGCTGGAACCGCCATTACCATCATGGTTTCATGGTTTGGCAAATATTGGCCTCCACCACCATAAGGTCCAGAGCTTCTGCCTCCAAAGTTTCCACCCTTCGTGGGTCCAAAATTTGATGACTGATTGTTATAACTCCCAGAATCATTGTAGCTTCCACCACCTCCAAAATTGCTTCCATCATTACCAAATCCATTGTAGCCATCCCCACTGCCACCATATCCACCACCATCATGGCTGCCACCAAAGCCACCATTACCCCTGAAGTTCCCTCCATGACCAAAATTGTCATTTCCATCAAAACCACCTCCATGATCACCATCAGTTTCCAGAACCACTAGATGAGGCACCAGCTTTGACAGGGCTTTCCTCACTTCACAGTTGTGGCCATTCACAGTATTGGTATTTCTGAATGACAATCTTATCCACAGAGTCATGGTCATCAAAAGTTACAAAAGCAAAGCCCCCTTTTTTTCCACTGCCTTGGTCAGTCATGATTTCAATAACTTAAGTTTTCCCATACTGTTCAAAATAATCTCGTAATTGATGTTCTTTGGTGACTTCTTTAATGCCACCAACAAAGATCTTTTTCACAGTTAAGTGGGTCCCCGGTCTTTGAGAATCTTCTCTTGAGACAGCTCTCTTTGGTTCCACAACTCTTTTATCTACCTTGTGTGGTCTTGCATTCATGGCTGCATCCACTTCCTCCACAGTGGCACAAGTGACAAATCCAAAGCCTCTGGAGCGCTTGGTGTTTGGGTGTCTCGCAATCACACAGTCCGTGAGTGCTCCCCATTGCTCAAAATGGCTTCGCAGACTTTCATCAGTTGTTTCAAAGCTCAGCCCTCCAATGAATAGCTTCCACAGCTGTTCGGGCTCTTTAGGGGACACTGATTTAGACATGATGGCAGCAGGAAGAGAGACTTTAACGATGCTTTTTCTGCTGCATCCACGGGCAGAAAAGCCAACTTTGAACTTTTTATTGTGTTTTGTGATAGTTCAATTCTGCACTTTTTGTTAACGTGATAAGCCATGTCCTTCGCTAACCTGTGGAAATGTACACTTAGCCTCTGGCTATTGGAACAAGAAATCTCAACAGTTTCCATCTTGGTTTGTGTAATCAAATATTTCTCTGCACCTTGAGTTGACCTTTGTTATCGTTTAGAACTGGGGTGTCCCCCAAAGATCCATGTATTCATTGACTCTGGTGCTATTGAGAAGTGAGGAAAACTTTATGAGGACAGGAGTTGGGTCACTCTCTGAAGGGCTCTTTGTGTCCCGGGCCCCTTCCTCCCTCTCTTTCCTCTCTTCTCTGTCTCTCTCTCCCCCCTTGTCTCTACTTTCAAAAAGAATAAATTATTTACCATTGCTACCATAAAGGGAGCAGTCTCTTTTGCCACAGATCCTACTGCCAGGATATTCTGAAACAGTGAGCCAGAAGTTAATCTTTCCTCCTTTAGTTTACCGTCTTCAGTAGTTTCCTCACAGTGATGGAAAGCTAACAACCTTGATGGTGCAAGCAATATTGTTTGTAAAATACCATGGCAGACTTCATTTTTAACTCCAGGGACTCTTCATATGTTTTGTTGTACTTAAATAAACATCTCTGTTTTTAAACAATTTTTAATGAGTTGACAGTTTTTTTTAAAGAAAGAGAGAGAGAGAGAGAGAATTTTTTAATATTTATTTATTTATTTTAGTTTTCGGCGGACACAACATCTTTGTTTGCGTGTGGTGCTGAGGATCGAACCTGGGCCGCACACATGCCAGGCGAGCGCGCTACCGCTTGAGCCACATCCCCAGCCCAAGTTGACAGTTTTTTAATGCAATGAATGTGGTGGTTAATTTTATGTGTCAACACAACTGCCTAAGGAATACCCTGATAGCTGGTAAAACATTATTTCTAGGTGATGTTCTGAGAGTGATTCTGGCAAAGATTTGCTCTCAAAGCAGTAGACTGAGCAAAGTCTCCCTTCTTAGTAAAAGCAGGCATCATCCAGTCCTTTCAGGGGCTCAACAAAACCAAAAGTCAAAGGAAGGGCAAATTCCTCTGCATGATCTGAGATGTCCATCTTTCCTGGTTCTGGGATATGACAAACCTTCACTATTTCTTAGTGTCCATGACTCAGATCAGGACTATCAGCCCTCAGTCCCAGGTCTTTGGTTCAAACCGAATTATACCCCTTGCTTTCCTGATTCTCCTGCCTGCAGACAAACACTAAAATTTCTTGGCTCCATAACCCATAAGCCAATTTCTACAATAAGTCTCTT